CATGTTCCTGTAATCATAGCACTGGCGTTAAAAAAAAAAAAAAAAGCCCTCACCCCTGGCCCCCCAAGATAGGCTTCTCTGTCCTGGAACTCACTCTGTAGACCAGGCTGGCCTCGAATTCACAGAGATCAGCCTGCTTCTGCTTCTGGAATGCTGGGATTAAAGGCATGCGCCACCACCCAGCTAAAAAAAATTTTTTTTAATTAAAAATAGCTAGCGTACTTGGCGGTGGTGGAGTATGCCTTTAATCCCAGCACTTGGGAGGCAGAGGCAGGTGGATCTCTGTGAGTTTGAGGCCAGCATGGTTTACAAATCGAGTTCCAGGACAGCTAGGACTGTTACACTGAGAAACCCTGTCTTGAAAAAACAAAAAACAAAAAACAGCAGCTAGCCTTAGCTGGTGTGGTGGCCCAAGCCTTTAATTCCAGCACTGGAGGAAGAGCAGGAGAATCTCTGAATTTGGGGGTAGCGTAGTCTACAGAGTTTCAGGAAACCCTGTCTCAAAAAAACAAAAATAAATAAATAAATAAATAAACAAAGGAATACATACATACATACATACATACATACATACATACAAGGAGCTAGCCCTTCAAGGGCCAAAATTCCATAAATCTCCCTCACTTTGTAAAAATTTTAGGCCAATCTTTGAATCTCCCGCACCTGGTAAAACATTGGTTACAGGAAGCCTAACACCTTTGTATTCCGGAACCTGATGGCCTGAAGTGATCCTGCCTCATTTTTCCCCATTCTTTTCAAACCAGCCTGTCTCGAAAGACTGTGTGGTCAGAACACAGCCAGCGGGCAACGACAGTCACCACCTGTGTCAGAATAAAAGCCCGGACCGGAAGTAGTAGCATATTCGTTTTGTAGCTGCACTCTGAGGCAGAGGCAGGAAGAGCTCTGTGAGTTAGGTGCCGGAATGGTCAGCACAGAGGATTCGTGGTGACACCCTGCCTAAATAAACAGAATAAAAACAAAGCCAACTTCCTGCTTGCTAGCCTGGTTTAGATTCGGGCACACCCTTCCTGCCCAAAGAAAACGGCCTCGTACAACTACTTTGTCTTTGTGCAAGGTACTCCTTTGTCTAGCTGAGATTAGTGTTTGTTTCTAATGCTGTGGAAGCAGAAACAGGAAGATCCTGGGGTTCAAGGGCCAGCAAGCCTAACCAAATCTCACGGAGCCCCATTTCAGTGAGAGACCCTGACTCAAAAACACAGTGCAGAATGATTGAGGAGGACACCCACTGTCTGTTTCTGGCCTCTGATGTCAAGCTCTGGCTAAAACACACACACAGCACCCTACAAGCAATGTCCATAAATAGGAGACTGATTTTTTTAAAAATTATATTGCAATATATTCTAGTGCAATGCTGCTTTTAATAAAGATTAGAATCATGGTGGCTTATGCCTGTAATGCCACCATTGAGGAGGTTGAGGTCAGGGTGGTTCAGTGGGTAAAGGTGTTTGCTGTCTAAGCCTGATGGCCTGACTTTGATTGTGGAAACCACGTGACAAGGAGAGGAGAGAAACACTTCTGCGAAGCTGTCCTCTGGCTCCATTCTCCCACTGTCTGTATGTCTGGTTCTCTCTCTCTCTCTCTGTCTGTCTGTCTGGTGTCCCCTGCTCCTCCCCAAATAATAAGATCACTGCTGTTTTTTCAGAGGACCCAGGTTCAATTCCCAGACCTGTCTGGGGACTAACTACCTGTGACTCCAGTTCAAGGGGATCAGATGCCCTCTTCTGGCCTTGGCAATTGAACCTAAGGATTTGTGCATCCTGAGCAAGGCACTCTACCAACCCAGCTTCATCCCCAGGAGATAGATACGGAGACCATTGCTCCCATAAGTAAGCTGCTGCTTTTCCATTCTAATCATCAGTGAAATTGGAAGGACATTACAAGGATATGTCATTCTGTTAATTCCTCTAAACCACAAATGGTGGTGGATGCCGGTAATCCCAGCTCTGGGGGAGTGGACAGGAGGATTATCAAGAGTTGAAGGCCAGCTTGAGCCACAAAGTGAGATCCCATTTCAAAAAAACACAGAAACGAATTCACCTATGTACATACACACACTCTAAAATGTAAAATGTAAAAACCAAACCTGGGTGGTGGTGTTGCATGCCTTTAATCTCTGTGAGTTTGAGGTCAGCCTGGTCTACAGAGTGAGTTCCAGAACAGGCATCGAAACTACACAGAGAAACTCTGTCTCGAAAAACCAAACCAAACCAAACAACCAACCAAACAACCAAACAAATAGACAAAACCACAGGAGAACAGCTGAGCATGGTAGCGCAGACTGAAAATTCCAACATTTGGGAGGCAGAAGCAGGAGGATTGATACAAGTTCAAGCCCAGGCTGGTCACACAGTGAGTTCCAAGCCAGCCAAGGCAGCACAGTGAGATTCTGTCTCAACAAAACCACTTCAACATATCTTTTCCATACTTATTGTTTTGGGTTTCGAATTAGTTTGTAGCAATACATGCACATGGCCAATAAAAAATTCAACTATATAAAAAGGAATTAATAATGAAAATGTGAAGGTTTCTCTCTCCCAAAGTAGCAGCTTCCTTGTGACTGTAGAATTCAGAATTAATTCCAAACTATGCCGGAAATTGCCTTCATATCTATGTCAACAAAAATGTCTACAAACGCAATGACACACCATAGATAGTGCTCTGTACCTTGTTTTTTTTTAATTTATTTTTGAGACTGACTTCCTCTATGTAGCCTTGGAATTGTAGACAAGGCTGGTCTAGAACTCAGAGATCTGCCTGCCTTTCTCCAATGCTGGGATTAAAGGCCTGTGCCTCTACACCCAGCTTTGTGCCTTGCTTTAATAACAATACTAATAATGATAATAGATTTAGGGCTACTGAGACGGTTCAGTGTGTAGAGATGCCTGTGGCCAAACCTGATGACTTGAGTTTAATCTTCAGGATTCCCTTGGGGTAACTAGTGCATACATGATCCAAGGTGTGCCCTCCAATATAAATAAAGAAAATATAAACTAGGAGCCGGGCGTGGTGATTGACACCTTTTATCCTAGCATTCAGGAGGCAGAGGCAGGTGGATCTCTTTGAGTTTAAGGCCAGCCTGGTCTACAAAGTGAATTCCAGGACAGCCATGGCTACCCTTCTTGGGTGGGGTGGGAGGATAGGATCTTTCCCCAACAGCAGCACATAGAAATCTCCCCTTTTTCTCCATTATTGTCTTTCTCTCACTTTATGATACCAGGGATTGGACTCAGGACCTTGTGCAGGTCAAGTAAGCACCCATCACTGAGCCCAGCACTAAACTTGTCTTTTTTTTTTTTTTTTTTTTTTTTTCAGACAGGGTTTCTCTGTGTAGCTTTGGCGCCTTTCCTGGAACTCACTCAGCCCAGGCTGGCCTCAAATACACAGAGATCCGCCTGTCTCTGCCTTCCGTGTGCTGGGATTAAAGGCGTGGGTCACCACTGCCGGATTTAGACTTGTCTTTTTAATTAAAAAAAAAGTTTTTATGTGTATGTGTGTTTTACCTGCAAGTGTGTTTGTATATCATGTATGTGCCAAGTGCCGTCAGAGGCCAGAAGAGGGTGTTGGAACCTCCTGGAACTGGAGTTACACGGTGACCTCGTGGGTGCTGTAAACTGAACCTGGGTCCCTTAGAAGTGCAGCAGATGCTCTTAGCTGCTGAGCCATCTTCAAGCACGCCTTTAATCCCCCCTATTTTTTTTTTTTAAATTAAAATTGGGAGCACTTAAACTCACCACATACACATAGAATAAATAAACCGCCGCACGCCTTTAATCCCAGCACTCGGGAGGCAGAGCCAGGCGGATCTCTGTGTATTTGAGGCCAGCCTGGGCTACAGAGTGAGTTTCAGGACAGGCGCAAAGCTACACAGAGAAACCCTGTCTCGAAAAACAAAAACACAAACAAACAAATAAACCGTATGAAAATGCCATAGTTTATTTCCATTATTTTTTATTTTGTTTCGAAGACAGGGTTTCTCTGTGTAGCCCCGGATGTTCTGAAACTCTCTTTGTAGTCCAGGCAGGCGTCGAACTTGGACCCGCCCGCCTCTGCTCTATGGGTGGTGGGATTAAAGGCGTGCGTCACCACCTGGCTCCCAAAAAAGGACAACTAAATCAGTAATTTCCTAGATCTAGTGTATGTATCTCCTTGGGGGTAATAATTCCCTTTCTAAGCGGGCTGTTTACATTTTGGTGTGCTCAAGGCTCCTACAGAATAACCAGAAATTTACTGCCAGGCCCGACCTGAGGGGATTAAGTGGCCGTCAGGCTCTTGCAGGGGGTGGGAAATTGAGGTTTGCAGAGGGTGTGGTGACTTGGGACCAGGGACCCGGTTTGCAGGGGTCCAGGTGGCCGTTCCTACGGGAGAGCGCTGGTTTGCAAGGAGCCGTCCAGCCTGATGGGCTGAGTGGCCAGGTCCTCCCGGCAGCTGATAGAATGTGGAAATGAGAAAGGATCTGAATTAGGAAAAAAACCTCTGCAGGTCAGCAGTCACCCGCACTCCGGGCGGCCTAGGGATCACCCTCCCGCTTGCTTTGGCGCGTTCCTTTTTCTAGGCCCGGGGCTAGGGCCGGCCCTTTGCACCCGCCACCAGACTCCACCCAGACTGTCCCACCCCCGCGCCGCGGAAATGCGGTGATCCGGCCGGACCCAGGCACTCTAGGAAGCGGCGATTGGACGGCGCGGCCGTCACTCAGCTCCACCCGATTACCCGGATGAGAAGCTGTGCGCGATACAAAGGCGAACCTTCCACCCAGCTTCCCGTCCGGTACAGTGACCAATCAGCATTCTCCAGGCGCTAAGTGACAGGCGCCTTCGCCAATTACTAACCAGCCCCTGTTACGCATGTGGAAATTCTCCCGATTGGGCCCACCCGCCCCCGATTGTGATTGGCCATCGCTGTGAAGAGCGGTAGCGCAATCTAATTAGGAGCGGGAGCGAGAAAAGTCCCAGCCAATAGGAACGCCCCCGGGAGCGGGGCGGGGGCTGGACCTTCGCCTCGGCGGCGGAGGAGCTCGGGGGCCATTTTGTGAAGAGACGGCGAGCGAACGGTCGTGCGCTGCTTGGCCGCTGTAGCTTCGGCGTCTCGGCACGGACCCGCGGTAGGGGAGGCAGTCTCTTCTCTCGCCCCATCTTCTCGGTAAGCGGAGGGGCCGAGGGCAGGGCGGGGGTGGGGGCGGGCGCTGGGTTCCTGGGCCCTGCGAGGGGGTGTGGGAGAGAAAAACGGCCTCGCGGCAGAAACGGAGCCCGCGTTGGTTGCCGTGGTTTTGGTGGATCGGGGCCGCGGCGGGAGTCCGCAGGCCTCGGCTTGGGCGCCCGGCCGACCCGGTGACCTCCAGGCCACGGTCGGCGCGGAGAAGACCCGGTTGGCGCGCTCGTGTTTAACGGCTCCTTTCATTTCCTCCGACCATTATTATTAGGACTCCAGGAAGGGAGGGGGGGGGAGGAAGCGTGAAAACGAAGAACGAAAAGGCTTGCTGGTTCGTGTGCGTGAAGTTTTTAATGTCATAACCGATTCCGTTATTGCCTTCTAAGTTAAACGTCGAGCGGGGGTGGGGAGGGGGAGCGATACCGTGGTGGTGATGTGCTGGAAGCTTCTAAATGCCGGGCGGGCCACATGGCATCAGAACGGCGTTTTAACAATGGACTTTTGAGTTTTCCTTACTTTTTCTTCCCCGGTAGGAATAAGTGGTAGGAGTCGGAGTGTTTTTTTTTTCTCTTTGCAAAAGGAAGTGCCGCAGATTAATTGTAATTGCAACAATTACAGCTTACTTTTTATCTGCAGGTTACAAATCCCTTGAAATATATTAAGTTAGTGGAACTTTGCTTGAGGTAGGTGCTGCTGCCTTTCTCAGAGAGAAATGATACGTAGAAGAGGCTGACAGTATCGTACTAAATTAGTAGTAGAGCAACTAAGATATTTTTAGGTAGGTCAAGTATTTTTACTGAGTTACTGGAATACTGTGTACAAAAAAGACAGTTGAATTTTTAGGGGAAGCTGATAACCGAAATTAAAGGTGACAGGAAATTTCCAAGCTTGTCTTGGGAACAACAATTAAAGACAAAATAATCTTTTCCGGATATTCCAATATTTTATCCATCTAAACTTGGGGCAGTAAGCAGTTTCCATCTGGGTGTGGTAGTGCAGGCCTGTAATTCTTGCACTCTGGAGGCCATGAGACAGGATCCCTACCCATTGCAAGCCAGCCCTGAACCGTGTTTTCTTTTTTCTTTTTCTTTTTTTTTTTGGTTTTTCGAGACAGGGTTTCTCTGTGTAGCTTTGCACCTTTCCTGGAACTCACTTGGTAGTCCAGGCTGGCCTCGAACTCACAGAGATCCGCCTGCCTCTGCCTCCCGAGTGCTGGGATTAAAGGCGTGCGCCACCACCGCCCGGCCCTGAACCGTGTTTTCAAAAAGAAAAAGAACAACAACCATTAATTGCTCGGTTGTGGGTGTTGAGTTATTGTTAATGTAGCCCAGTGGTAGTGCTTAGGATGCAAAGTAACCCCATACTCAATCCCAGTACCAGTGGTGTAGATTGTCACGTTAACTTAATCTGGGAGTTAAATTTTTTTTCCTGAGACAGGGTTTCTCTGCAGCTTTGGAGCCTGTCCTGGAACTCAAACCTGCCTCTGCCTCGGGTGAGTGCTAGGATTAAAGGCACCAGCACTCCTAGCCCAAGAGTTAAAATTTTTTATTAGATAAGTTTATTATAAAACTAGCTTGTCTAATTCACAAAGATGATGGTACTAAGGGTCGTTTAAACTAATACTATACAAATTTAATCCTTAAGCATACTTTGATACTCCTGTAATTGGAGCACTTGGTAGAGATAGGAAGTGAGTTCAAGTTCAAGGCCAGCTTTGGTATATAGTAAGTTTTAAGTCCAGCTTGAGCTACGTGAGACCCTGTCTCAAAAACAAAAGCAGAGATTTAAACAAAACAAGGCTCTTTTGGCTTTTCAAGACAGGGTTTCTCTGTAACAACCCTTACTGTTATGGGGCTTGCTTTGTAGACCGGCTGACCTTGAACTCAACAGAGACTCACCTGCTTCTGCCTCCCGAGTGCTGGGATTAAAGGCTTGTGTTATGCTGCCTGACCTTATATATAAGCATGCACGTGCCTAAGTAGTTTTGCTTTGAAGTGAGAAATGAGAAAGAGAAATAGCTAGGAAGTCATTCATCAAAAATAGTCAGAAGTTAGTATGCAAGACTGCTGGTAGTAGTTGAGGTTAGTAGAAAAACATCTGCCATTAAATGTAAGCCAAGTGTGGCGGTGCACACCTTCAGTTCCGGCAGAACTGTCAGATTTCTTATGACCTTGAAGCCAGCCTGGTCTACAAAGAGTTCCAGGCTTGGTGAGATCCTGTCTCCTCCCCCTTTAGCCCTTCAGAAATGTTAGAAATGTGGCTTCATGAATATATCAAGATTTAAATTCCCAAGTTAATATCTGTTAGGAATTGAGAATATTTGAAATAATTGTAGATGATTTCTCAACTAGGTGAGCACTAAAGCATTTCTGATTTGACCATATAGGAGGAGGCTAAAGATGAAGTTGCAAGTTTTGGAACTTCTCATTTGCAATGGTCAAGCCATTTTCAGAACTGCTTGGTAGTGGTTACTCTTCTGTAGAGAAATAAAACAAGTATTTGTAATTTGATCTCTAGAGGCTTGTGGTCTTGTTATGGATGGGAGTGACTGTTAGGAGCAAGTAGGGAATATATTCCCAAATAGTATAATATAATTATAATCTTTTTTTTCTGGAGCTGAGGACCAAACCCAGGGCCTTGCGCTTCCTAGGCAAACGCTCTACCACTGAGTTAAATCCCCAACCCCAATATAATTATAATCTTAAAGACAGATTAAATGGTGAGTGTGGGTTATTAACTAGGGAGTGTAGCACTTGAAATAATCTTGGCCTGAGTAAGAATTATGTTAAACTTGGCAGTAGCTAGTAAGTTAGTTTTAAGCGTTTTTTTTTTTTTTTTTTTTTTTTTTTTTTTTTTTTTTTTTTTTTTTTTTTTTTGGTTTTTCGAGACAGGGTTTCTCTGTGTAGCTTTGTACCTTTTCTGGATCTCACTCTGTAGATCGGGCTGGCCTCGAACTCAGAGATCCGCCTGCCTCTGCCTCCCGAGTGCTGGGATTAAAGGTGTGCGTTGCGCCCGCCGCCCGGCACGGCTTTATTTTCAAGCCCTAGAACAAGGGTACTTAAAGTACCTATTTTCATTTCTATGCAAAGGTGACAAATATGCAGAGAGGTCTGCCCACCCCCAGTTTTCTAAATTATTACTGTCTGGTGGTGGTGGTGATATACACCTAGCACTTGGGAGGCAGAGGCAGACAGATCTCTGAGTTCAAGGCCAGCCAGTGCTAACAGATAAGATCTCTGTGTGTATGTTGGATGCCACTTAAGATCAACCCATGTGAGCCTATTTAATGGGTAATAGGGACTTATTAAGATAAAAATTGAGGAAATACATTCAACAAATACAGAAACCAAGTAAACAGCTCTGCTCTGAGTAAATCCACCTGTTATTCGTGACCCATCTCCCTTTTAAGGGGTCACATAGACAATAGGAAGCACTGCCTCTTTAGGAGCCCTATAGCTCAAGGTCACGGGCGGAGCAAATACCACTACATAGATATGTATTAGTCATTGCTGTTAACAACCTTCAAAATAGTATGCCTGTTAATGGTCAAGTAATCATAAATTAGTGTTTTGTCCTTAACATTATTTGCTTATTTATACTTCATACACTGAACTCTCATTGGAAGTTTTATGGTTTTGTATGAACTAGATTTACTGGAGAATTGGTTGGTGAAAAACAGAACCTTCAGATGTAGCAAAACTGCAGGCGTTTTATTGGTACAGATTTTGAAAAACTGCAGTGGGTAGAGGTTCCTGGTTAAATCTTCAATTCTCAAAAGACAGAAACTGATGGATGAGAATGAGTAAAGGACTGCTGTGCTCTTTACTACCAGTTTCTAATCTTTTGAGACAGGGTTTTTTGGGTATCCCTGGCTGTCCTGGAACTAGCTAGCTGGCTTTGAACTGTGATTTGAACTGTGATCTGCCTGCATCTGCCTCCCAAGTGCTGGGATTAAATTTGTGCACCACCACTGCCCAACTTAAGATTTTTGCCTTTTAAGTGCCAGGTGATGATTCTTATCCTCTTGGTTGGCTTGACTCATTTAAAGCATCCTTTTAGAAGAGCTTATCTAAACCTTAATGGGATTTTTTTTTTTGGCATTGTAGCCTAGAAATACTTTTTAAAACTTGATTTCTGTATATGAATGTTTGCATGTATGAATGTGCACCCTGTTTGTGTATGCTGGACATGTAGGCCAGAAAGAAAGCATAGGATCTCCTGGGACAGGAATTATGTTGTGAGCCACCAAATGGGGTGCTGGGAATCAAAGCTGGATCCTCTGTAAGAGCAAGTGCTTTTCATATGCTGAACCATTTTCCAGCCCCTGTATACATGGTCTTTATTGAAAAACATTTGCTTTTTTTAAAAAGAGCATTAGTTCATTAGTTTGATAATTAGGTGAGAAAACATGTTGACATGGAACATACAATGCTTTGCTTTTGGCTGACGGGGTTGGGGAGGAGTGGTGAGGATAGGGATTGGTGGTTTTGTTTTTAGAGGGATCACTCTGTAGCTCTGGCACTCTGGCTGTCCTGGAACTCACTGTGTAGACCAGGCTTGCCTCCAACTCAAAGAGATCACCTACCTGCCTCTGCTTCCCTAGTGCTGGGAGTAAAGGTGTGTGCTACTCTGCTCAAATTACATTGCCTATGTCTCGTGTATGTACTAAGGATTTTCCTTTTTTGATGAACTATTGGGTAAACATCTTGAAGATTTGGGTACTGGGTTCAGGATAGTACCAAATAAAAAAAATTAATTATAATTGCTTCCAAAATACAGATAACTTTCAAATGTTACTATTCTACCAGGAAACTTACTATATACAGTTTTTATATTTGTATAAGCTTGTCTATTTGAAATTGATCCTTAGTCTTAAAGAGTTAACATTATTTGTTCTGTTTGTAGTTTTTGGTGTTTTAAAATAATAATTTAGCTTGATAAATAAATACTTTTTTAAAGGTTTAGTTTAAAATTTTAACTTAGGAAACATTGGTAAGGGAGAATAAAGAAAGCCTCCCTCATGTCTCAATGAAATGGGAATGTAACAAGTCTTGTTTTACAATGAGTAGATTACTAACTGCATTTCTTCTTTTAGCTGATGAAACAACCAGTTTGTGTCATGTACATTATTTCAGTTTTACATTATGTGTCAGATTCTTCATCCCTTGGGATTAGGAACACTAGATAAAAAATGTCATGTACATTATTTCAGTTTTACATTATGTGTCAGAATCTTCATACCTTGGGATTTAGGAACACTAGATGATAAAAAAAAATGGAACACATCCATTAAGGACACTATCTTTATATCACCTGTTTATGACATAAAGTGTTCATGGACCCTTCTTCCATTTGTGTGGCTTTTCACTGTCAGTGATGATGAATAAAAAGGGCTGGCTCCTTTTTAAGAACATCTTTTCACCCTGACTGTAGAACCTTATCAAAGTCTTGTGGTCTTTCACTCTTTGGCTTTGAGAATAGATGATCCCTTTTAGTGTATGTCTTCATGGTAGATAGACCATTCACCTTAAGTCTGTGTTAATCACAGGAAAAAAACATGGCCTCAGGTGTGAAACCCATGAATCTGTTTGACTTTTATTCACTTCATCTCCATTTGTTGACCTGGTTTTTCTGTATTTCCTTCATTGCCCAAACTTCTGATTACAAAGCAAACATTCAAATGTATACTCTTATCAATCCCCTTAAAGGGGATACAGACTTGAATTTAGTTAACTTCAGTCACATATTGACTATGAAGAATTGTAAAAAGTCACTAAATAGAAGTGATGATTCTTTAAAGGCTCTCTCCATCCCAGTGAAATGTTAATGCTTTACCAAAATGTGTTAGATGCAACAGACAGTTTTCTGTCTTGGGTTTAGGGCACATTTCTGAGGAACTATGACTCAATCTGTCCCTTCTCCTTTCACAGGGCAGCAAGGCGAACCCCATCCTTACTCACTGGAGCTCAGCTTTGATTTTTAACTTCCCTTCCCCACCCTTCCAGAACACACACATTCCCATTACAAAAATGATTTTATAAAGACATTTTAAACATAATGATGCAACTTGGTGTGCACTACAGCAAATATACAGGTGTTTTTTTTAAAATTATTTCCAAAACAGACACAAAAAAACGGGACCTGGATTTAAGATGTAATTTTTAAAATTTCTATTTCTATTTTTTCTGCAGCAGTTGGGTTAGAGGAGGAGCCTTTTAGCCTCATAAACTGACCTCTCTACTTCCTCGTGTATTTTTAAGATTAATTGATGATGTGGAAAGGGCTTTGCTTGTCTGCTATTTGAGAACATTACCCTTAGCGGTTTTTGTGGAAACTGCTTTTGGAAAAGAAAAGAAATGAACTTTACTGACTTGACATTTTTACACCTCCCGTTTTTCTAATCTGGGCTATTTTTATTTTTGTTTTTTTACAGTGAGATTTTTTTGATCTTCAGCTACAGTAAGTTATTACAATTTTTTTTTTACATTTTTCCTGACTTTCGCTGGTTTCCTTTTTATTGTTGTTACTTACTAGTTATTTATTATTACTATACTTATTATAATGGTGATGATGATGATGATAATGATGATTTTTAACCGGATTAAAGTGGAGTTTTTCTGAATGTTAAGATTTCTTCAGCCTCCTGATTGACTTTGGAGTTTTCCATCTTGGGAGAGAAAGTGAAGGTGTTAGCATTTTTATAGTAGTTTGATCACATAAACCTTTTCTCTCCCAACCCCACCCCCGCCCTCAACCCCTTCCCCACACTGGAAATAATTTTACTGGCTGTTAAGTCTTTGACCTTATTTTTCCTGATCTTTAACTTAACTGTTTTAGAGCATCTCTGGACGTCTGTATTTTTAATTTTTTTTATTTTTATTTTTTTTCTTTTTAATCTTTCATTTGTTAAATTTTTAAACTGTGCTGCAATAAAATGTGTGTGGTACTATTTAACACCTATAATGGTGATGGCATTTTCCCAAAAAGCCATCTTCCTACTGTTTCCCTTGAAATCCCATCCTGCTTTTCCTGTACACTACCCCTCACAAACCACAAGCCGCAGCAACATGGATGCCCAGCCTGGAGCAGCATCAGCCAGGATGACCTGGAGCCAGGGGGGCCTTCGGAACAGATGTACACCCTTCCTGGGTGATGGTAAGAGGTGTGAGGTCCACTTGGTTTCATTGCAAAGACTAGGAAATAGACTCATTTAAGTTTAGATGATGCTTAAGTCAAAGCCCCTGGAAATGCCTCTAACTAGACATTTCTTTCTCAGGTTATCTTTGAGCTGTTCAGAGTAATCTTTGGGGTCTGGATGTATTGCTTAGTTGACAGAATGCCTACTGTACATGAGGCTCTGAGTTTGACTCTGCACTCACTCCATGAACGGGGCCTGGTGACAGGCACACCTATGATCCATTCAGAAGTCTAAAAAGTTGAAGTTTTTGGGGTTACATAGTTTGACGCCTGCATGGAATACATGAAACATTGCCTCAAAACAAAAAATACAATTTAGATTACATTTGTACGTTTTAGATTATATTTATCTTAACACAAGTTGAGGGGGCTGGAGAGGTGGCTCATTAACTAAGATTTTTGGCTGCTCTTCCAGAGGTCCTGAGTTCAATTCCCAGAAACCACATGGTGGCTCACAGCCATCTATAATGGGATCTGATGCCCTCTTCTGGCAATGCAGGTGTACATGCAGATAGAGCACTGTATATATAAAATATATAAATCTTTAAAAAAAAAAAATCAGGTGGTAGTGGCACCTGTCTTTAATCCCAGCACTCGTGGGAGGCAAAGGTAGGCAGAACTTTTGAGTTTGAGGCCTGCCTGGTCTATAGAGCAAGATCCAGGACAGGCACCAAAACAAAACCCCATGGATCCAATCACAAGAAATAGTAATACATATAATATTAAAATGCTGTGTCACAGAAGGGTTTTTAAAGGAAAAAGTAGACTTTTATAAGATTTAATTTTTACATCTACAGCAATGGGGATTGTCCAGCAATGACATGAAGCCCAGTTATCTATTCCTACCTTGAGTGGTGTAAAGGAATGAAGCTATAATGATGCAGTGGTTATTGAGGGCATAGGTAGCTGGAGTTAGGAATATTACTGGCTTGAAGTCCTGTCGTCATCCCCCCCTCCCCCAACACACAGGGTTTCTGTGTAGTTTTGGTGCCTGTCCTAGATCTCCCTCTGTAGACCAGGCTGGCCTTGAACTCACAGGGACCCGCCTGGCTCTGCCTCCTGAATGCTAGGATTAAAGATGTGTGCCACCAATGCCCGGCCTAGAAGCCATTTTTTATTTACACTTTTTTTTTTTTTTTTGAGAGAACGTCACTACATAGGCCTGGTTGTCCTGAAATTCACTATGTATACCAGCGTAGCTATTCTCAAACTCAGTTTCGCCTGTCTCTGCTTCCCAAGTGTTGGGATTAAAGGAAAGCACCACATTGGTAACTGCTGACCATTTTAGAGTTAATGTAGTAAGTTTCAATATGGAAGAAGAATGCTGTGACATGTGGGTATATCATGTGCCCTCTTAACTTGGACAAAATACAATGTAGGTCAAATGAACACCAAAGATAGCATCAAAGAATAGTGGAACATTAAAGCAGAAGCTCCTGAGGTCTGGGAAAGGAGTGAAATCTTTCTACCTTTTCTGTATTGTGTTGCAGCTGTTCATTATAGGGTCAGTTTGTTTCTTGTCCTACAAGTTTATTTAAAGTTATACTTTTCTTGTTTGGGAGGTCAAAAATCTTGTCAGGAGAACCTCGCAGCCTAACTTGTGATAGATGGAGTGAGAAATTATAACCTGTGATGAGATGCACAGATCTGTAGATGACTGCAAAAGTGTGTTTGACTACATCAGGAGGCCAGTGACTTCTTTTAAAAGGAAGTGAACTGAGTCTTAGGGTAAGATGATAAGAAATTTGTACTATGTTAAAGAGTATGGTGTGTGTTATGTCCTCCCTGCCCCCCAGGGTTTCTCTATGTGTAGCCCTGGCCGTCCTTTAACTTGATCTATATAGACAAAGCTGGCTTCAAGCTCAGAGATCCCCCTGCCTCTGCCTCCCAAGTGCTGAGATTAAAGGCATGAACCACCACTGCCCAATGAGGTTTTTTTTTTTTTTTTTTTTTTTTTTTTTTGGTTTTTTTTTTTTTTTTTTTTGTTTTTTTTTTTTTTTTTGAGCCAGTGAAGGGTAAAGAAGTGGCATGAAATTCTAATTTTTAGAAATTAAAAAAAAAAAGTTGAATGTATGGGTTTTTGCCTGTGTGTATATGCCTGGTACCCTCAGGGGCAAGGCACTGCATCAACCTAGAACTTCAGTTACAGACAATTTTAAGCTGCCATGTGGGTGCAGGTAATTGAATATGGATCCTCTAGATGTGTTCTTAACTCTCCAGCCCAAGAAGCAAGCACTTTTTGGTTTTTTGAGACAGGGTTTCTCTGTGTAGCTTTGAACCTTTCCTGGATCTTGCTCTATAGACCAGGCTGGCCTCGAACTTATAGAGATCCTCCTGGCTCTGCCTCCCGAGTGCTGGAATTAAAGGCGTGCACCACCACCACTGTTTTTTTTTTTTTTTTTATAAAGAAGCTAGCACTTTTAAAGTATTTTTTACTGGTAGAAAAAGGAAATAATGGTTGCAGTCTGTGTTACTAAATACAGTGATCTGTTCTTCAATTTGTTCATCTCACTTCACCTTTACCATTTAACCACCTACACCTTTTACTTTCAGGTTGTTGCTGTTCCTTTAACTATTGGAGTTGTTTGTGACTCTAGTCCTTCCTTGTTTTGTACCTGTTTCAAGAACTATTATTTCAGTTCTATAAATATCATTCATACCAACTTCAGAGTATGTTGGCTCACTTGGGATGCAGGGCCAGAATTGCCACCTTGTTTTTTTGAAGGCCAAGTCCAGTGACCTACAATCTGAGACCTTGTCTCAGAAAGGAAAACAATTATTTCAAAAACAAGCTATATCTAGACTGTTTCTTAAAATTGGTTTGTTTTGACCTTGGTTTACAAACTACAGGTTTTGTGTCACTTAGCCAAAGACTGGTTACTTTCTCCTTCCTATCATGTCATCAGCTTTTCATTTAAGACCGTTTACTGCCGTTTTTGTCCATGTCAGTTCATTGTCTCTAGTGTATTGCAGTAGACATCCACTTCTACTTTGTCCTCTGCACTAAGTCTGTTCTCAAAAGTGTCAGCTACATTGATTCTGCTAAAATGTAATGTTTGAAAGTTGGACTTGTCTGGAGAGATGGCTCAGTGGTTAAGAGCACTGACTGCTCTTCCAGAGGATGCAGTTTGAATTTTCAGCACCCACATGGCAGCTAACAACTGTCTGTAATTCCCAAGATCTGACACCCTCACATAGACGTACATGCAGGCAAAAGCACCAACACAAATAAAATAAAGATAAGTTATTAAAAAAAATAAATAAGTTGGGCTTGATGTCTTATACCTGTAATCCAGCACTTGAGAAGTACAGGCAGGATTAGAAAGGAGTTCAAGGGTACCTTAAGCTGTATAGAATTCAAAAGGATTTAGAACCCAGTGAGACCTGCCTCAAGGGAAAAAAATTAAACAAGTACTTGAAACTTAGTAGATTCTTATTTCAGAACTAAAGTTAAAATTATACTGATCTTTCTCCTCTTCCTTACTGTTAACTATGCTGTGTTCTGGTTATGTCAATGGTCTGTTTCCTTATGTGGTCCTTGCTGGCCGGGAATGCAGAACAGTCTGCCTCTAGAGTGGTAGGATTAAAGTCTGTGCCACCATTCCTGGCACACTGGTCATCTTACTGTGTATTAAGTAACTGGCTAGGGACTGGACAGATGGCTCAGCAGTTAAGAACACTTGGTACTCTTGGAGAATATTTGGATTCATTTACCAGCATGGGCATGATGGTTCCCATCATCCAAGACTCCAGTTCCAGTGAATTTGATGCCCTTTTGGCCTCTTAGTACTAGGCACTGAAATGGTATACATACATGCAGACAAAGCACTCACATAAAATAGAGGTTTTAAAAAAGTTGGCTAAATATATTCTACTTCGAGGTCTTTATTTTTCTTCATGTTAGATTTCTTTTTTTCTAGGTTTTTATTCAGCAGCTACCATGTCAGTCACCTATCCCATATTTTTTTTTTAATCATTTAAAATTCACTTTTGTATGTGTGTTTGCGTGCAGGCGCACTTGATCCTGTGCCTATTGAATCCAAAAGTGCATTGGATCTGTTGGAGCTGGAGCTTTATTACAAGCCACATTATATTGAAATTGGGTCTATGATAAAATAAGAGCACTTGTTTTTGCAGAAGATCTAGCTTCAGTTCCCAGTAATCTCATCGTGGCTAATAACTAATTCCAGTTCCCAGAGGCTCTTCTACCCTCTTCTGGCCTCTGGCTTCTGTGGGTAGTAAACATGCAGACATGGAGACAA